CACACACATACTCAGGGATCTACACAAAACACCCCCCCCCCTTTCCAGCGAGCACACGCTTGTGACGTTGAGTTGTCCGTAAAATTCCATCAGCCAGAAATGACAAAGACATTATGACGTCGTAGAGTAGAGGTTATTCATCTGTGACCGGCCAGGTCTCCGCCTGGAGTGATCTGGTCACGCTCTGGGGCTTGGGAACTGCGCACAAACTGACCACTGCCAACTGCCACACACACAAACCCTCCTGCCCGTGTCTTTCAGCCACACCCCTGATCTTCGGGAAGGAAAGATATACACTCCTCGAACGTCCCTGTATAAGTTGCGCACGTTAACGTTAAAGATGCCTTGGTGGTCTAAAATTGATAAGAGTAGGCTTTGGCCGCCACCCGGGCAAAATTCAAAAATTGTCTACCACCAATTGAAATCAATGTTTAATGTGCCCCGCACGTTCATATGACCTTATGCAGTTGCGAGCGCCGTAAAACACGTACCAAAATAATGTTTTTTAAATGTCAAAATGTAATATCATACTTTAAAAAATCCTCTCGCCTCCAGTCTTCCACCACTCCCCTAATCCCACCCGCGGACTCGCGGACTCGCGGACCTGCCAAAGCCCAAAGTCTGTGTGTGTGCCGAGTTTCCCTCTCCTCCTCTTGTTGTGCTGGCCGGTAACACAGATGTACGTGATCCGGATATCTAGTTTCAGTTCTTGCGGCTGATTACGAAGTCGGAGACCCGCGACCCGTTCTTAATACTATCTGTACGTCCTGGGGTCATTTTGTACCCCCGGGGTTGTATTCTTCACATTTTAGAATACTTCTAGTGCGAAGATCTCTTTGAAATTTTCGGTATTTCTCAAAAAAAAATTTTTGACAAAATGTTATGCAAAGCGCACGGATCGGATTAACGTGTAAAATTCCTCTTTGGAAAGTGGTGGCACAGAGTACCCCACGTCGTATGGATATGATAGTAAAACAAGACGTACGGATAGGGTTAAAGCGAGCGTTCAGACCAGAGAACCCCCCCCCTCCCCCAACCAGGACAGTGCTACTGGCTGAAGTTGTCTTTATGCCATTCCCAAAGGGG